TTTTCTGGTGTCTCTCCCCCTCGACACCGCATCATTGTAATCAGCATTTTCATTCATCAATAAAATCATCATCATCATTCAAAACCCAATTCTCTCTCAGCTTCCGCAATTTGCTTACGACATTGGTTTTCCCGCACGGCACTGACAATCTAGTCTAGCGGGCGGCGAGGACCTCATTGGCGGACAGTAACCTCACTGACATCGGTTGCTTAGCCTTACGTTGCCCTTCCAAAGATCATCAGGAAGGCGTTGCGTAACAGTATACAGGGACAGCCCCCTTGCCTTGACACCGTTTTTCACCTAATCACCTCAATTATGCCTAGTTTCTATTTTTATTAGCAACATGAACCAAGTACTTAACGTGCTTATTAGAACAACTCGGTCATTTTTAAACAAAGCTAGAGTGCGTGGTTTTTAATCACATCCAACGTGTAAAAATCATCCAATAAAATTAATTCATGTCATTTGTGCAGGTGGCTAATAGGTAGGGGCGGATTTAGCCCGTTTTTATGGTGCACGTGAACCAATAGTCTTTCTGTCAAACTAAGTATTTTATGTATATATTTCGTAAAATTGATCTAATATTATATGTTGGCCCATATGTTCCAAAATGTTTGAATGATGCATTTGGTTGAATGCTGAGTTATTTATTCAAAGGTACATAGATCGATTCTTATTTAGTACTTTTCTTTCTCGCTTTTTTTAATGGTGCACCCATGTTCTAAAACCGCCTCTATACTAATAGGTACAGTAATTGAAGCGACTAGGTGAAAATTGGTGGCTTTAAGTTAAAGGAGATTGTCTATGTATTTTACAATAAAATAAAATGAGGGGGGCTTATTTTACCTTTAAATATCCATATCAACAAGTTTTTTACTTATTCACGTGCTACATATAGGTGAAGATGACGATCTCAGCCAGGTAAGCGAGCTATGCTCAATAGGCACGTTAGGTACTTGGTTTAGGTGGCTAAGAGGGACAAGGCATAATTGAAGTAGCTAGATAAAAAATAATGCCAGAGTTAAGGGGCTGTCTATGTATATCTTGCATATCTAACAATGCCCATTCTTTTTTTGTTTTTTCTTTAATCATAAATACATCTAAGATGTACGGAATAATATATTTTTTACAAGTTCTTTTCAATAAGTGGCAGTATTACTTACAGTTAATTTGCGTACTTATGGCAGTGTACGTTTTGGAGTATATCCTCATTGAACTTTCATTTAATGCAGTTGTAGAATTTAAGAAGTTGGAGAAAACAACAGATAGCAGGTAGACGCATTAATTAGTATATTGAAATTATGGAAGGTTAGCAACGTAACTTTGGACACTTTAGTTATTTGATTTTGCTTTTGGACTGTACAAAACCAAGGCATAATTGAAGTAGCTAGATAAAAAATAATGGTATTAATATATCGGCTCCTGTTGCTTTTTTGAGCCGAGGGTCTCCTGGAAACAACATCTCTATCCTTCGGGGTAGGGGTAAGGTCTGCGTACATATTACCCTCCCCAGACCCCACTTGTGGAATTATACTGGGTCATTGTTGTTGTTGTTGTTGCTTTTGGACAGTACACATCTGACTCTCAATTGATTCAATTGTGTGCTTTTGGTTCCACCACTATTGAATTATATTAGTTTAGTGTGCGTGCATTGCACGTGTGCTTCGCGTCAAGTAAATATATGTGCAAGAATAATGTGTTTAACTACAAATGCTTCATCATAATTTTGTATTCTTTTTCTTATCAATTTAGCATTGATATATTTGTGATTTCCATATACTAACCTTGTATTATATTTTCAATTATTGTAATTTCAAAGGAGAAATGTTTAGAAAAAAATGGAGAATTACAATTTTTGAATAAGATAAATGAATCTAGTCATCTAAAATAATTTAGGATTATTCTCACCATTTCAGTCATATTTTGTTATCTTCTTTTGATTCTTCTGCTTATTCTCATCTCAAAAAAATTTATACAACCAAAATTGCATGAGAACAATATAAGAAAATATTAAATATGAATAAAGTTACATATGAACATACAAAATACTAAGCAACATGGAGTTTAAATTAATAATTAAAGCATAGATCATAAATTAATAGGATTATATCATCATGCCAATAAAATATTTACAATAACTTTGATACATGGTACATTAGAAACAATATATAGAGACTAAAACAATTTATTGCTACGCGCTTTTCACGTGTACCATGTATTAAGAAATTAAGAACTTTAAAAAAAATTATATAAATATTATTAAACTTTGTATACCTAACATGCAATTGTTTAGTGTCATTTAGAAAGTATAAGAATTGGATAATGATTAAAGAGTATAATAATTATAAATATTAAAATAATTTATATCTAATTATAGAATTTATTATAAAGTTTTTTATTTTGGTACATAAATTTTATAGTATGAATCTTTGATTAAAGGCTAATGACACACTATTTATACCATAATTAAACATAAACTTTCACAATTTTTTTTTCTCTATTCTTTATTTTTTACTAAGATAATTAAATTAGATAAACTAATTGATTTTAATTTTATGATCGATTATATATCTGTAACTAAGAATAAAAAATCAAAGGAGAGCCGATTGGTACTATCTAATTTAGTTATAGCTTCCTACTAATTACTTTTTTCACTTTTATTTTTTATTT